CAGATGACATTTCTCTGAAGGAGAAACAGAGGTGGCTACCTTCAAAAGCCAATTTCAACTCCAGGAGAACAATCTCCCAGTGCTCCCTCTGCAGTCAGTGGAGAAATGGGCACTTCCAAATGCCTGATACTGGCTACCTTCCACTCTACTCCACTCTCTCCTGGGACTTCAGAGGAGGTTAGTCCTACTGGGCTGTGGGAGCACCCCAGGAGTTAACCCTCTGGAGCACCTAAACCCTCTGCTTACCCCTCTCTCCTTTCTGTATGGCTGTGGTGGCTGGTATCTCATGGCACTTGAGCTAATACATCTGTCCTCAGAAAAACAGTGGTGAAGTGATAGGAGTAGCACGGCAAGTGGTCCTGAACCGCAAAGTAGCTTCCTCCTCTCACAGCTTCGATATGCTTCTGCCTTCATGTTTTCACGTGCTTTTCCTCAGGATTGACTTAGAGTCCAGAAAGGCTAAACTAGAATTAAAAACCACTGTGACCCTGTGTTTAATTATGTGATAAATAAATGTGGATAAGGGTTTGATGTTCATATGTACTTTTTATAGGTGTTGTAATACAGCTGCTGTCTCATATAGCAGTAATGAACCAAACTGAAGAAAACTTCCATGACTCAACAGATCATCCTCAACTTTTCACACAGTTTGTGAAGTTATACCTGGCTCTTCACATCTCTATGTGGGGACTCATAAAACTTCAAATCACCCCAAATAAGAAACTAAATAGTTTGGGAGCAGCCCTTCATCTGACATACTCTCAGTGGAACTCAGATTTACTTACATTAGCTGAGGATCTGGCTCCCAGCTTCTCCTGCATTTAGTCTCACATCTTCAGACTAATTAATTTAACTCCTTGTGTTCTCTTGTATCTTCCAGCAACTAAAACAAGCTTCTAAACATTTCATATCAATTCCAGATACTATGCTCAGCCTACCTGCCAAGGCTCAGCTGTTCCTTTAGTATAGATGCAAATGCATCAAGTGTGCAAAGAAAATTACTTTTTTGTCAAATTTGTTTTGAATCAGTTGAATCTATTTTAGAATGATGTAAGCCCTGAAAAATGCTGTGGGACTGTCTGAGTCTGTTAGCACTTTTAAGTAAACAAACAAAACCTGCTTTAATTTAGACAAATTTCCAGGCCACAATTGTCAGAACACCACTAAAAGCTCTTGGGTATTAAAAAACAAAATCTAAATAAGAAACAGAAGCTACATAAGGAGGAGGGCTCTGTGGGAACCTTCCTGCCTTTGGTCTGACAATCCAAAAAGTGTGTTCTGGTTTCCCCCAGCATCCGGTGCACTCCAGCAAGTTTCTAAATAAAGTTGAGTAAAAACTTCACTCAAAGCTTTAGTGCTCCTTAAATGGCACGTCTCATCTTTGCTGGCAGAGCTGCAGCTCATGTTAAAGTAAGCAACCACGTTAACATTTTTTCTAAATGCTACTCTATATATTCTAAATGCTTAGCCCAAAAGTCACTAAAATAAGCATTTAAAATAAACTTCAAACACTTGCACAAGGCTGCATCCATTCAGAAGAGCTATTTTTTCTTACCTCACCCGATTTCCCTTCAGTGTTCGTTAAACAAAGGATGCTCCACGCCATGACAAGAGAGAAAGGCTAGATTTCAGCTTGAGGACTAACATAAGTCAATTAGAATCTATAGGCTCCTAATTACAGGATTTGTTATCTATGCCAGGCTGCCTCCCAGTACAAAAAAATGGTGACTGATGCCTGTTCTTCATGATAAACACTCACTTAGATACATGTGGAGGCTGAAATGCAATGAAGATTGTTTCTTTCCTTTACTCTGAGCAAGCAGTGTTCAGCTTTCAAGAGAATGTTTAATCCCGTTTTAAGCCTAAGTAAAAGCAACCTGTATTACCTATAGCATTCTGACTGTGAATACAGATAGACAGATTCTATCTACTGGAAAACCTGTAAAATAATAGAAGCCAATGCATTAACTGCAAAAGGTATTTTAAAAAACTTCTGCAAATTATGACCACGTAAACCGAAATTGCTATGCAACACCAGCATTTTAGAGATAATGTATCTTATGAAAGTCTAACACTTAATTATGGAAAATGAAATAAGAAGCATGAAAATTATAATTGAACAGTAGTAGTCCCTCTGATACATTTGCAGAATAGAGTGCTCAAAAAATCTTACGAATCAAGGGAAATGATATATGGGTCAACTTAAAAAAAAAAAAGAAACAATAGCAAGCCCAAATCGCACTTTAAATATATATTCAAGCATTTGCATCAGCAATGCCTTCTTCAGCAAGCTGAGCACCCAGCATTTTCACTACCATCAACACCTCTTTGAAGTTCAGCTCTCCTCAGATGTATTCTTCTGCTTTACATGAATTTCTGTCACCACTCTTCCCTTCCCCATTATCACCTGCACCACAGAGAGCACAAAAATTCACACAAAATCCCACAGGAAATGCAAAAGATCTATATAAAGCTGCAAAGCTTCTTCTGTCTCTCATCTTCAGCTCTTTACAAGTTTCTCAAACTATTGGGAGAAGAGAGTTCTGGTTACACCATGGAAGGAGGGAAGACATAAACTGAAGTAAACAACAACCACCACAACAAATGCCCCAAACCAGCCTGAATGGTACAGCAGGCTGCTAACTTTATACATGGGCTATACCAGGAACCTCTGTGTGACTGCATCAGTGCCTACAACACGTGTCTGGATCGGGGGGTTTGTTCAATAGTTTGATTATCAGTAACAAATACCCACAACTTGCCTCATTCTGGCTGGTCCAGAATTAATGAGCATTTTAGAAGAGTGCAAATAAGATCTGTGATCCTATTTTTTAAAAAGGATTCTTTACAAGTGCAGACCCCCTCCCTCTCCCTGACTTAGCATGACCCTCTTCTAACCCTGGAGTGTCTGTGTTGCCCTCGAGTGCTACGTTTGCCCTGAAAGACCAGCCCTGCCCGCTCCTCCCTGGGCTCTCACTGGGTTCAGAACAGACCTTCATCTCCCTACCACAGAGTTCGGGACAGTGAACATCCCAGGAGGACAGGTGAAGCCACCCAGGGCAGCGGCACCACTTCCCACAGCTCCAACTACGTTGAGTTTCTTGGTACAAGGGAGCACAGTATCAAAGACAGTCCTATCTGGCTTAAAAGAAAAAAAAAAAGATTATTTTAAATTAGTATAGCTCAGCAAATCTTAATTATTATTGTCAAGATTTCTTAATAACATATGCAACTTATTTACCTACAAATTCTTTCTCCTGGCTATGCTGGATACTTACATTCACCAACATATTAGTCATTGGTTAAT